TACTGAAAATATCAGCTTTACAAACTCCTTACATGGCCAATTTACATCATAAACTCAGTTGATAAAACCAAATTATCTTGTTGCAAAATATATCTATTTGACCCTATTAAGGTACAGCTTTGTGACTCAAATTAAATGACAAAATGCTACAACATTGCTTAAAAAGATACCACATTTTCGTTTTTGGGGCATTTTGACGTCATCACTATATCTATTACAGAATAAACATACCACAACATGAATCTTGTAGATGAAATGATTTTTCTTTTTTGAGAGGAATTCATTTTCGGCTCTAATTTTGACTTCAGGAAATAAAACTATGTCATGTACTAATTATTTTAATTCCTTTTTGAAAAAAAGAACAGTTACCTTGCTATTGTTATCAGAAAAGTATATGCTGTGCGAAATAGGACATACATAAGATAGGCCAACCAGATATTGCTGGTATGTGCACTTTGGAACAAAAAGAATGCATCAGCTACAGACACCACTCCCAGGCACAACTCTCCAAATATGGACCAGTTAATTTTCACATGTGCTAATGCTATAGCCACCAATGACCCAGTCAAGTGTGAGATTGCAGTGACCCCACCATTGTAAATTTTGTGGTTATGAGATGGGTAGATAATCTCCCATAAATTCTGTACGTAATTTTCAACTTGGAACTCCCCGCCAGTAGCAAAGGCCCACCAGAGAGACCACCGCAGCAATTCTTTGTCAGAGTAGCACAGCTTAAAATCACGAAACATGGTAATCATTGTTCGCTTCCAGGATGATATACAACCGTTTCGTTGTTCTTCGATGAGATAGTCAGATTCTGTCCTAGTGATAAAAACGTTTCCAGAAGCTTTTGGTAGCAGGAGTGTTAGAATACAAGAGATTGAAACACTGCCAAGAGAGATGTAATTAAGAACCAGATAGTCAGTCACTTTGAACGTTATTAGAAGCTGTCCAACAACTCCAGAGATCAATCTTCCCAACAGGACTGCCGCCCTGGTATAACTGGTCACGATCTTGTAATGATCTCTGTCAACTACCGCATAAATATAAGAATAGTAAGCTACTTCAGCTCCAGTAGCTACTCCATAGACGAACTGCATGAACTGCATCGCTAAGACTCCACCGGCCCAAATCAAAAGGATTCTCGTGGCCAAATAAGCCAGCCCCTCGATTATAATTACGGGTTTGTATCTCAGCAGATCTGTGACTAAAAACACTACTAACAGAGTTAAAAGGTAAGAGTAGGTCCATACGGGGTAGATTTTTTCCAGATCCTCTTCGGTCATATTCTTTTGCGCTTTCAAGTATGGAGTTAGGAAAGGCTCTGATGGTTTCATTTCTTTGAAAAAGCCATAGGAACAGAGAAGCAAAGTAGCTTTGATCCAAAACTCCATCGTGGTGCTCGAGGATGCGACACGTGATGGCGAAAAAAAAAAACAACACAGGAAGTGAGCGAGCACCGAACTACCTAGGGAGGGGAGGCAAAGTGGAATGAAGAGGAAAGCGCCTTGACACATCTCAACTAGGCTACATTTAACCCATTCCATTTTTTTTCCGTTTTCAACTTTTGCTTTCTAGAATACCAACGAAGCTTTTGCTTCAATGAAATAAGGTGAACGCATTTCAATTTCCCCTTCCAACCCTTGTTAGATCGAATCATACTGAACACAAAGAAAGATGGCGGGTAATTGTACACTGTTTATAGAAGACCAACACTACTGCGTAAGTATCGATCTTTCCGTTTCATTTGAAGTCAGTGAGGTAAGTAATTTCTCTTCTCTATCTATGGTGTTTTACAGAAAATTATCGCCATTGTCAAGCAGACGGTTGCTTCTTTTTCTTTGGTTGCCAGGTGGGAAACGACCAAACATGGTCCTCTTAATGATATTGTGAAATGTTTAAGAAACGTTGTAAATTACAGAGCAGAAATGGCTCCATATCTCCCCCTTTTTTCTTTATATGGAAACATACCATATTACTCTTACATCCTAAATTCTATCGAAGTTTTGAAAGCATGTCGATTCATTACATATTTCCTGATCAATGAAGCTCGTTCTATAGGTTCGTATGTAATTACTTTATTTTTTGTAATTTTCTATAGGTTCGTATGTAATTACTTAATATTATGTTCAAATTTTAAGATGTTTGCGTAGGCTAGATTTTCCTCAGCGTATCGGTTTTAAACTTGAATTTACGATCGCTCTAACAAGTTCAAAGTGATGTTTTGCGTATATTGACGTACAGGTGGAAGATTTAAAAAATCAGAGGATTCGATCGACCAATAACAGCGGTAATTGTGAAGAAGAGCTCCCCAAAAAACCTGTCGGCCGACTGTTGGTCAACTGTCGGTCGACAGTCGGCCGACAGTTGGTCGTCTGTCGGCTGACAGTTGGCCGACTGTCAGCCGTTTGTCAGCCAACAGTTGGCCGACAGACGGCCTACAGGTTTTGCCCGAAATATAGGCTACCTGTCGGCTGACAGTCGGCCGACTGTTGGTAATGTGTCGGTAACCTGTCGGTAGCTTGTCGGTAAAACGTTAACACAAACCTTAATGTTTTCTCTCGGTTTTCGCTTGATACAACATCCAACATGTGTAATACATTGACAAGAATAGCCTTTCATAGATTTGGTGGCTCCTAAAGGAGCCATTTTGTGAGTGGTGAAATATACAAGATACTTCACTCGTAGAATCGTGCCTCAAACTTCATTGGCAACAGTTGCCCCTCTCTCCTCATGTTGCTCATGACCGGGATGTATTGCCGAAGTCTTTTGCAACAGACAACCTCCAGATCTCGCACTGATTTAACTTCTTGGTTGCAGAGGACAAGGTCCAGTTCCCTCGAGTCGACCTTTTTCGGTTCTGCTATCGCCACGAAGTCTCGTAGTGTGCTCTGAGGACAGCCTGCAAGACGGAAGGCACAGGCCATGCTGCATCTGTTCTCTTTCATCGTCTAGAGAACCTGGTCATATTGTTCGTGTATGTTGGCCAGGCTGTGGGTGCTGACGCAAATGTCTGGTATTGCTGTTGTGATGCGGGTGGGTCTTCTTATGGCGCGGTCTTCTTATGGCGCAGGTTGGTTTCTGCGTTGCACCTCCGCTCGGAGTTCTGCGATGACAAGGTTTGCTAGCTCTTCAGCCTCTTTCTCGCATTCCTCTAGCAATGTTGTCAACTCCTGGTTCTGTTCCTGCTGGTTCTGGAAGGCCTGACCCACTCTTTTGTACTTTTTCTTTAGATCGTCATGCGACGTATCTTCAGGCTGTTGACTTTGATGTCTTTTTTTCTTTTCTGAGGCGGGCGTTCATTACACGAACATTGCCTACTGGCGCCGTTGCAGACACCACACCTATTCTCACAGTGAAAAATAGAGTGGTCGCCGCTGCACACTGTGCACTTTAAGATTCTCTGAGACATGTTGTTGTTTGCGAACTATTACGTCGTAATGATAATAACTTTTTTAACTAAAGGCTTTTCATACACTATCATTGGATCAAGTCCGTCGATCAGTAAGTAGGTGAAGTCTGTCGAGTCATACATCACCATTACGGATTGTTATGTCATGTTAACTGTTCGTTTTTAACACAATTTTTCTTTTTTCTTAACCTGTTGGTAACCTGTTAGTTAGCTGTTGGTAGACTGTCGGTAACCTGTCGGTCAACTGTCAGCCGACAGTTGACTGACAGGTTTTTTGGGGAGCTCTTCTTCACAATTACCATAACAGCTTACCAGATCTTACCAGTGATACTGTTAAACTGTTTTCATTCAAATCTGTCTGAGCTTTAACCTATCAAGTAATTTGTTATTATATATTTGAGGTATGAATTTATTTCATGATGTAAAATTTAATGATCTGTCATCATTTGCAGCCTCTTCATAATATTTGTTATATGGCTTTTCAGAAAGTACAAGTATTTTGTGCAGGTAGAAGATCCTCATTTTACATATAACCATTGAAAATAATTGATGATGTCAAAAACCACATTACTGAACATCAATGACTCACAAACTACTCTGTTGACTGGGAATCTGCACAATGCCCCACTTACAGCACTAACTACTTTCCATGGTTTACTCTGGAAAGCTGGCTTACCAGCATAGAACAGACTCCACTCAACAGGTGACCACTACTGCTGGCACCATTCAAATGACTTATTCGTGACATAAACATGCAAATCAATGGAACAGAACAAGCTAACTTTACTGATGAATTGAAACTGACCAAACATGATTTACTTCTGCTACTTGAGTCATACATCTAATAACATCACAGCTAAACTGACCAGTCAGTATACACAAACTGAACCTAGTAAATTTGACTGACAATAACAACTCACTTGACTCTGATGATGACTTCCACTCAGGTAATTGAAATGTTAGTGACTACTACTGACAACAATTCTGCACAGGACTGATGACCTGATCTGATGATCTGATCTGCACAATCATATAAAAATATTTAATGAAAACATTAACTTACTAAACTTTAGGTTTTAATCAACTAATCTCTTACTACCACACAATTTAAAAAAAAAAAATGTGGTGGTCCAGTGGGCTTAGTCAGTAATTCAAATGTGGCTGAACGCAGAGCTAATAGTATGACAGTAAGCACTTCCAAGAACAGAATATACAGAATGTTAAATTATGTAACAATATTATTTATAACAGAACGCTTAATTTGTCTAATCAAATTCAATTGCGTGAGTGTGCTTCATACTCCTATTGTGCACGCTCATGATGTCAGCAAACAAATCTCTCGAGAAAAAAGTTTCTTTGTGATTTTTTACTTTGGGATTTTAATATTAAACAACTGGTTAAGACTTCGTTGGCAATTTGAGCTAAACATGGAAAGTTGTCAGCAAGCTGATGAGGAAGAAATGTTTTCCTGAAACAAAATTATCAATGCGCTGAAGCATAGCAGAAGGAATATTAACCCTTTTACAACATTTAAACCATCGGTTGAAAATGTTATTAAACAATTGGTTCATACATCAGCTGTGCGTTCATTGAGATATAAAGCACTTGGGAAGTTTGGAGAGCATGCAAGAAGCTAGAGTTGCTCAAGGTGTAGCCTCGATCAACTCTTACGCATCCTTCGAGCTCTCCAAACTTCCTGCGCGCTTTATATCTTGATGAATGCACACTGATGTATTAACTAATTGTTTACTGTAAATGACTGTGAATATATGATAATCACATATGTGAACTGCAGATTAAGAAATGAATATAACAGTGATCTTTGCAGTAATGAACACTAGTTATGCATTAGTGAAAATAAGGTCTGAAAAAAAATTCAGGCCTGTATGGGATTTTAACCCATGACCCCTGTGATACAGGTGCAGTGCTCGACCAACTGAGCTAACCAGCCAACTGGGAACTGGTCCTTATTTGGTAGAGCACTGCACTGGTATCACAGTGGTCATGGTTTAAAATTTGGAATGGGCCTGAATTGCTTTTTCAGGCCTTATTTTTACTACTGCTTATAATAAGTAGTGTTGATAACTATGAACTTTAGTTTTCTTTCATGTTCAATGTTATGTGTCCTCACCACTTACTTGTGGTTCATGTCAACAGAGACTTATTTTGGCTCTTACTTCTGCTGCTTGTCTCGACAGTATAAGCTATCTACTGGTAAGTGTCCTGCTTGAAGCTCCTTTTAAGTCTAACAGAGATATATTGTAGATATACTAACAGATAAACATACCTTTTGCTTGTGGTGAGTGAAGCACTTCTCACTTTAATTAATCTATTTTGTTTTTAAATGAAGTAAAGCCAAAGACTGTTGATTGAGCACTTTTTTTGAAGTAAAATATTACACATTACCAAAGAGTTGTAAACTTGATAATGTACTTTACAACTCCAGACAGGTGTTCCTCCAGATGACAACACTTTATGTGACTTTCAGGCCTGGCTTCTTTCGTTTACAAGTATGTTGACTGTTTCAAGTTGAGAGATTGAAGTTTCAATTCAAGATTGAGCATTTATTTGTAGTTCAGTTCATTTTCATATTCTATTGTATACTATACTATTTAACAATCAATCAACAAGTTCAAGCAAACACTTTTGCTGTTCATCTCAAATATTTATTTAAGAGCGATACTATCATATTAGATGGCCTTCTGATGACTTTCTGTTCAGTGAAAACTTCACAAAAAATGCTGGCTACATCCCCTGTGTCCATTATCTCATAAAAAAAACCCAGCTGAGCATTTATCAAAACACCTGAAAACCTCTTGGGCCTGAAAATCATCTAGTAACCCACTTAAAAAGGCACCCACAAATATAAGGCCTAAGTAGCAGTAATTATTTCTCCTTGTGAACTTTGAAGGAACTCCTTATCTCCCAAAAACTTTTTCCAGGTGATTTGATCTGAAATAAAATGGCAGTCATCAGGGCTGTTCTGAATTAAACTATACAGCTAAGATGATACATGGTGGGAACATTAATACTGATTATGGAACAAAACAACATTTTGAAAGGTGGTGAGAGAATTCCTTATTGTCAGTGGCTTTTTTCTGGGACAAAAAAGTGGGACTCAGGGTACCAGTCTCCTCTAAGCACGGAGGTGGGGTCAAGGATATATTTATGTATTCAAGAATATGTTTTCATAGCTGGCAGTAAAACCAGAAAAAAACAATGAAAAATTCAAGTGAGAATACAGGGCTTTTGGCAACTTTCAGAAACACTCTGTGGGACCTGAGAAAATCACCTGAAATATGGTATCAAAAAGTTTTTGGCCTGAGAAGTTTTTATGTCTTTTGAGAAATGCATGCCTGGAGTTTTTCTTTGTTAATGTAGTACATTTTCTTTTCCCATGCTTGCTGTAATTAAATTTTAAATCTCTCTTAATAGTTTTTTTCATTTATCACCATCTTACTGATCATAAAGGAAATTATACAAGGAATGTGAAATAGATTTGGTCTGTATTTTGTAGGTTTCTCTGTCCTTCTGTGGGTTTGCTGCATCACCTTTAACTTATACTGGAATGCTATAAAAGAAGTCAAAACAGATAAATTTGAAAAGTTAGTCTGATTTTTTTTTTGAGTAATACTGCAAGTCTTAAAACTGAGAAGATTATGTTTTGATTCAACAGGTTGTGTAGTGAACAATCTGACTAAATTGCAAGACATGTAAGCAAAGCTCAAAACTACAATCCAATTGTCCTTACAGTGTGCAGTTTATTTCTCTTGTGCCTGATTGGTTTTTTTCCAAGTAGTATAATAAGATCCCTTAATTGATTCTGGCTTCCCATTTTTGTGAGTGAGTAATGTTTATTAGTAACATTTAAGCCTGGTTGACATGTGTGACGTGAATGCAAATGCAAATGTAAGCAAGTTCACATATCCAATGTGAATGCAAGGAAAGTGAGATACACAAGCATAGTGTAAGTATTTTTCCAAGATGGCTGATGACGACAAAGCTTTTTTGTTGCAAAGTTTGCTGCAGTATGTTTTATCATTTGTTTTTGTTTACAGAGCTCTGAGGAGAAATTTTACTTGTACACTGTTTACTAAACTGTTCAAGAGGCACTGTATTCCTACATCAATGTCTTTGCTGTATATGTGTACATTCTTTCGTAAAACATACTGTCTTTTAAGCCCACTTCTTTGGCCACATCTTTCCAAGCAAGACTTGTCTTTGATTTGTCTTTCAATTCTGGGAAACTTTTGTCAAAACAAGTTTTATTTTTGAAATAAAAGGCGTAAGTTTCTAAAGAAACTGTCGTGCTGCATTGGTGGGAGAGTGTAGCAGGTAATTTAGTGTTAACAACTTGGTTAAAAATGTAAATTGGCCTTTGTAAAGAGTAAAAAAGCTGATGTTTCAAGTGTTAGCCCTTCGTCAGAGTAATTTTTCTGACAAAGTACTAACACTCAACCTAGTTGTTAACACTAAGTTACTACTTTTGAAATGGTGGAAGACATTCTTGCCATCTCTTTCTGAACTGTTCAATGGTGTCATAGAACCGATAGAGCCTGTGCTTTTCATCTTGCATTTGTGTTGCCCTACTTCACACATGTGGGAAGCAAATGCAAGCACAAGAAAGTGGAATTTTTTTAATCCACTATGCCTTTTAAGTACCAGTAATCAGGGTAGTTTCTACTTCACCTAGAACCTTTTAAGGAGCTTCTAATGGGTCTGTACAAAAAAAATTTTCATTCCATGCTCTGATATACATTAATTAGATGAGAAAACACATGGTACATATTTTTTTTTGCAGATATTATCACCTTGTCTCATGGGGAATCCCCTTTGTAGTGGCCTGCTTACCTCTGATCAATGACCATTATGGACCTGCAGGGGCCTGGTGGTGAGTATTTACATTGTAGATTATGCAATTCGCAAAATGAATGAACAAGAAAAAAGTTTTGGCCTCATGTTATCATTGTTGTAGGTATTGAATGTTACTTTTTGCAGCTATGGTTCATGTTAGTTTGATTTTCTTCAGGTGCATCTTATGATGTTATATTAAGGTATACTAATCAATAGCTTTCTGTTAAATTCAGGGAAAAACAGAGTTGGAAACATAGCCATACTAATTGAAAAAATTAAAAAATTTCTTAGATTGTTATTGGTTAAAAAACTTCTATTTTCACTAATTCTCTTACCAAGTTGTTATGAACAGTTTATTATCAAATGGTTCAATAAACCAATTACATTCAAAGTGGTAGTTTAAATCAACCAATCACAACCTTGGTTTCAACTTGGTCTGTAATCATACCTGTGATAAACAAATTGGACTCCCACTGCTTGTTTGTCCGATTTATTATAATTTGTATGATTACAGACCAAATGGGCTCCACTCAGTCCTATTACCATTACTTATTCTGTTGTCTTCCTTTCCACAAACTTGCATGTTAATAATTAAAAGGAGGAAGGGAAATATGAGTGATGAATAAAGTAGCTGGTGTTGGAAGAATATGAAGCTGTGTTAAAACACAAAATTAGCTACTCAATTTTAAAGAGCAGCATTTTTTTTCCAGTTGGATTTCAAAACAAAGTGACAACAGCGTAGCATGGAGATTTGCCACGTAAGTGAATGAGGTTATCAGTATGGCCTATTTGCTCTATATGTTTTTTTGGTAGCAAGATTTGAGTCATTATGGTCAGAGTTATGGCACATATGTTAAAGTTTGGTAAATTTGGTAAATTAAAATATCATTTTACTCAAGGTATGACAGGGTGATTTTTGTACAGCAAAGGGTTAAATCTAGTGAGTGGTTACCATGTGTTGTTTAATCTAAATTGAAGGGAATTCTCACTCAAGTACCTTTGTAATTAAATTTTTCTACAGAAATGAATGTTATATTGAACTGAACGTGGCTGTAAATATTCTTTTGTAACAGTTGCTTATAATCAAAAATGCTTTGTGCTTCTAATTCACAGATATTATATTCCTGTGTATCTCTGTATCATTGGACTTTTTGTTGTTTATTCTTACATCTTCATAACAATTAGGAGACAGGTCAGTTTTTTTACATGTCTTTGATCTCACAGACAATTGATTGAGTATTAATAGAACACTGAATCAATAAAATGGAACTGGAACTCATTACATGTCATTTTTTGGTCAGAGATATAACATCTTGCAATCTAGGAAGGAAAATGGAAATGCTGCCCCACTTTTCGTCCTTCATGGCCATCTTCATAGCTGTTTCATTGCACATGGCTTTTGTAAACGAAAATTTTGTTCACCTTTTTCTCCCCTTTTTAACTTAACTGTGAGTAAATTTCACTTCAAGTGAGTGTCTGAGCTGTATTTCAACTGGCAGATAAAACGTTGGGAGGGTACATACAATGCTGAAGCTGACAGAAGCAAAGTAAGTCTATTGAAACATTTTATCTGTATAATTTTTTGCATCTTTGCATAGAGACCCAGTTATCTTTTGCTTGACTCATTCATTTTTAGTTTTTCTCATTTTAGGATACAGCTGGGCTAGTGACAGCACAAACAAAACTTACCTGTTTTAACTTAAATTGTGTTTATTTGTTAGGAGCTGATGAAACAGGACATTAGGCCACTGATGTGGTACCCTGTAGTTTATCTTTTGACAACAATATGTCCTCTCATAGACAGGTTGGTGCAGCTAGTTGTAGTGATATAGTCTTTGTAGAACTTGCCATGCAGATAATAAAATATGTTTACTTCTGTATAGTTCAAGGTTTTTGTCTGCAAGATACACTTTGCAGAACAACTTTGGAAAACTAACAGAGGATCAGTGTAACCCAATAATATCAGTGAGAAACTAAGCCATATACTTTTTTGGGCTAATAAATTTTAGGCTCTCTCTTTTCCAATGTACTATTTCAATATTTAAAGAAGAGACAGTTATTTCTTTGAAATAAATAGCAGATTTACATGTGTATGGTGATAATTAACTTGTGACTACATAATAAGAAAAGGACAGATTTTTATTGAAACATGACTGCTTTTTTCATTGGATGGAGTGCTACATTCTGTTCACTTGGAATGGCTGGCTCAGAGACAAAGAAGCTGTAGGCATGTTCATTGTCAATGCATACTTGTTTGCAGAATTCAGAATGCAGCAAGCCCCCAACCCAATTTCATATTGCTGCTGCTTCAAGTACTGTCTAGTCCCCTGGTTGGTAAGTGGAATGCTAGGATCTTGAAGAAAGAATGGGAAAATTTTTAAAGTTACCTCAAGTAATCTCTGTGATATCCTGTTTGTAGGAGTCAAGTTCTCAAACAGAGTCATAGAATCCTTAGCCTACAAATTGTCAAACGACCAAAAGTGGTTTATGATGCTGATGATGGTTATAATTTGGATGCTTAAGCAAATTAATGGTGACAGATTATAAGTGACACAGTTTTTAATTAAGTTTTAAGTTTACTTTGCAAAGTTAAAGAGAGCATTTTTGTATAGGGGAAAGAATTCTTAGGGGAATTTAGTGATGTATGGATTACATGTTGTTGTGGCATAAGTAATACAAGCATTTCAACTTACAAGCTTATTTTGTTTAGGAATGTTAAATGCAATTGTCTTTGGTATGGATAAGGAAACATTGAGCAGGCTGAACTGCATCCAAATGAAGGTATGAATCACCCCTTTGTTGTAATTTAATATTTCCTAGAGTTGAATAACATTGTTGTTTTTGTATTTTAGGTTGCTTTGATACAACACACAGCAGCTAAGAAGCCTCTTGTTCGGGAGTATCCTGTTGGAGAAACAAATGAAGTCAGACCCAATGATGATTCATCCTGGTCCTCAGCTACATCAACAGAATCCCCATATCCACCCTCTCCCACACCAGTTGCTGCACCACCTCCTCCCTTAGATGAGCAGGTAGCAACCTAAGATGAAACAGGCTGCTGCTGTGTAATGTAATGTTCTATACTAAAATGGCCTGCTTTGTTGTAAAATTTAATTTTGGAAATCACGGTAGAATAAGTATTTCAGACATGTGCAACTCAACACCTTGAATTATGTAAGTACACCAGTCAGCATTTCAAGTGTTCGTTTTTGACAACGTTTGTTTGAGTATTTTTCTCTATGTACTGTGGAAGGACCACAAACACAACATTTGGCCTTTGCTGATTTTGACCACAAACCTACCTTTTAATTGAAAGTTAAGAATTATTGCCCCTGGTAAAAGTTTCCCATCTACCGATCTTCGTTACCTGCCTTTCAGTTGATAACTATCATCGTTTGACTTCTCGAACAGTCCATGTTCTGTTGTTTCCGTTGTGTTTTTCACTGGGGAGATTAACGTGGTATATGTTTTGTGAGTGAATAGATCCTTCCATGTAAATCGGTTCACTGTAAACATAGCAAGAAATGTAAATACAAGCTATATTAAGGTTGTAATAATTATAATATATTGCCACTAGCACAACAGGAATAATTCAAGCATACTGTCCTATTCACTGAACAAACTCTTCCACGTTCCTATCAAATTTGATCCGCCCTACAACCCCTCCTAGCTTGCAAAATAACTGTCATCCACGTGCTATTTTTGTTCTTTAATAAAACCGTGAAACGTGTTAGAGCTCTTTTCATTGTCTAAAGTGATTACTGACAAGCAGGTAGTTGTCAGTAAGAGCGAATATGAAATCAGAATGAAAGTGTTCAACAAAAAGGTTCCTGTGCTGTAATTCATATTTCTTACCAGTTCTATTTGCAGTGAGGAAATTCAGTCGATTCCCGATTACTTAAGCTTCAAGGGAAAGTGGCAAGGGAGTAAGTTATCAGGAACTGAAAAAGAAAAGAAAAGAATGGAATTTGGGAAAATACGATGGCATCTGCATTTTGATCACATTTAGTTACAAAGCACTACGCGAATATGAAAATGATACATCGAAGAGCGGGAAGGAAAAAAGGTGTGCATTATGTGCAATGGTCGTGTATCCCGGACGCACCTTGCCTTTCCACTATCTGTCATCATCTAAGTTTAGATTTGATTTCATAAAGGTGCGTGATGAATACTTCTAAACTAGGGAAACTTAAACAGTTTGGTGTTAAGCCAAAAAAAGGCCAAATCACACATATGCTTTAGGCAAACTTAACAATTTACACATTAGCCTTGTTTGTTTTACTTGTCAAGTGAGATACTGTTAAAGTTATCGAGTGTATACTCTTACAGAGAATTACCTGAACTGGAAGCAAAAGAGGGGTATATGTTAGCGTAAGGTTCGAGTAACCTGCAGAGTGGGCGAATGTTCGAGTTCCCATTTGCGAAATTGCAATTGATATTACACGGGGATTCTGGGAAAATCGGTTTTGTTTCGAGACTTAGGAGTTAGTAGGAAGTTCGAGTTGGCGAGAGGCGGAGTGAGGCTATCGGAAGTCGAAAGTATGTTTGTATGAGATCGATGCTGGATAAACGGCCCAAAATCATAAGAGGCGTGATCAGAAGTTTAAAACTGGGCACACATTTGGGCACGTAATTGTTAGCTTCTTACAATTAACCATGATGAGGAAGAACAGGTAATACCACTGTGGTATACCATTGTGGGACAGTTAAGTTAGACTAGCTTGAACACCACGCGTACAAACGGGAGGCACCAGGAGTCTTGTCAGGAAATTTATTTCATCCTCTGAGACTCTGTCTCACTTCGTATTACTTCAGCTCTTAGTACATGCTCTTATATGCGTTATCGGTAGGCATGTTTGGGCTTACAGGACAACTAACCCTGGCAGAGTAACCATAATTTTAGAATGCTAACCAAAACAATCTCACGAGACATTCGAAATGTACAACAACGTACTTATAGCGAAAACCAATCTTCGAGAACCAAAACCTGAAAAAACCTTCTGTTCAGGATTCTAAGCAAGGTCAAGGACAAATCCATACATGATTAGCGATGACGATTATCGAACAAGAATGAATTCCTATCACAACGGCCAAGGACACATCACTCAAGAGGTAAAAATAAAAGTGAGGTCCTGGAGCACATAGCAAAACAAGGCTCACAAGATTCGCATAAGGATTTCAAAACATCCCTAATTTTAGTAGTTCCTAAACACTTACAATTTTAGTAGTTCATAACGTTATTTGAACCTAGCGAGATCAGTCAGACGATGAAAAATCTGACAATAGGCGATATTCAGTTATGAAACCTTGTCAGTTTCTCAGTCCATTTCTTCGACTTAAAGTTAGGAACGGCCTTATAACTTATATTACCACTTAAAATGGTCATTCCTTTCGGTGAATACAGCTGTAATGAAAATGCGTCCATCAACGCTGTCAAATACCAGCAAATCACAGTTGAGCATAAAAATTCATTAAGTGACGACATTCCAGTCGCCCTTACAGCCTTCAGACGACTTGAAATCGAAACGTCGTGATTCACACCAGTCTGAAGTAACTACATCGTGAAACGAACGACTGTTCTTCATTAGGAGCTATCATCATAGAGTAAAACAACAAAGGGGATACTATGTCTGTCAAATATAAAATTACAATCAACTGAGAAGGAACTTCTTATATAACTCAATGGCGGATCCAGACCTTGGGCTAATGGGGGGAGGGTCGGTTTTTTGTCGCTTGTCCCACCGGACAGCCCAAAATTGGGGGGGGGGGGGGGGGGGGCCCCCATATCCGCCACTGTAAGTGCTAGTTGGGTTCGCTAATATTGATATTTGCTTATTGACATTGGTAGCCTATGCAAGAGAAAATTTAAGTCTCCCAGCTGGGGTCGTACAGGAAAAGTACTCATTTAATAGTATTAGATCTTGTATTTGAGCGACCCGGGAATTCTGTGCACTGAGTCGGTTCTCCGAGCTGATGTTCTCCCATGGACCTGTCCATTCCTTGGTTCCACGATGGAAAATGCTGCTGAAAAGCCACCTACAAAAATAATTATTCGATGTTAAATTGGTTTAAAGCTTCATATTCTTGCAAGCCAATTCCACAGAAGGCCTCAGCAGGAGAGGAGGGTGATACTACGATTACGAATGAGCCCTGTCCAAGAACCGTCATCTAAAGAATTTTGTACAAGACAAACCGTTAATCAAAATTTAATTCCCATGTTAAAAATCAAAGGGTGAGGAGCGATTACGCATTAGATCACTGAACTTAACGTGTATAAAAAAGTATATTAGCATGCACGGTCAGTGGAACATTATTTTTTGTCAGCCTGGGGGGTTTCTCTTTCAGGTGGTCCTTTTTCAGACTATTCAACTCCATCGTTACTATTGGTGATATCTTGTGAGAGACTATAACACTAATTTACAATACAAGTCTTAGCCCACAAGAATCTTACTTCTGGTAACCTTTGAACCATGAGAAAACAAGGAATTGGTCACTCCTTCACTCTTTTGTACAACCTGGTCAGTCATTTGATGGATGTAAACCTGATTTCACATTTCACTGAGTTTCTAATCTTATTCCCTAACCTTCATATCAGCCCAGTTCAGTCTGTTGAGGGTTTCCTTGTTCACTCCAAATGCAATAGCATTAATCAATCCTAAACAGAGATAATTTTATTTGTAAGTCAAACTTCACAGCCCTACCTTGGCTACTGTCTTTGCCGTAGTATTAAGGATCGAAGACCAAAGAGGTTTACTTACCTGTTAAAGGTATGGAGATAACATGGAGGAGAATCAGAACAAAGCTTGGGTCTGAATAAACTGCGTTGTAAACTCTGCAAAAGCATGACAATGAACTTCTCATTTCAGTCACAGAATTAACCGCATTGACCTACTTTCCAAGATTTAAAAGCGCCTGAACTATCAAATAATACTTGGATCAAAGAGAGAACATCGGAAAGTACTGCAGGCTGGACATCACAGCTTCTTTCACAATTTGGAAAACTATGGTGAGTTTTTCCTTGGATAAAGAGAAACGTGATCAATTTTGGATAAAGTACGGTTTTTAAAGGCCCTTTTAAACGGTTTCAACATTTGACCAATATTCGTTCATTAGAAGGTGAACGGATGTTGAGTAAATTTTGAAACCGTTTAAACGAGCCATTCAACATTTTCGAGAACAAAGGAAAAGTTGAATCGATTTTGAATGAAAGTTTAAACCGATTTAAACTTGATTCAACAAGCTTTCAACATTTTTTACGTTTTCAACAACGTTGAACGAGCTGTTCAAACGCACCGAACATTTGGTTCAACAAAGTGTTGAATGCAAGTTGAAGCAAATGTTGAAACCGTTTAAACGGGCCTTAATGTCAAATCGTATGAGGATGAAAGTACGTACAATTAATTGAATCTGTCAAATTTATTACCCTAAAGTCTATGAGAAAACACTTGGCCACTCGACATATCCCGTAGAACATCCAAAAAAAGGCCCAAATACAGAATTTATACTTGTCAGTATAAACCAATTAACTTAAGAACGAGGCTCTCGTGGAAAGTTACTAAAGGGCAATAACCTTCTTGAGGGGCTCCAAAGTGTCCCAAGTTTTTTCGCCAAATCTCATGATGTCGCAACTAGGTCATTTTTGACATCAATTTATTTAGTACATGCGCATTGGGATCCTGACCACGCCTGTCGTACAGGCTCACATATTTTGTGAACGGAGTGGACCGCTCTGACTCACAATAATAATTATGTCAAAAATAGGTCCAATTGAAGCTATTGTGACTAGAACGTGTGGGATCAGGGGTTCGAGAATGCTACAGCAGAGAGAGGTCGGACGCTACTAAGTTAATAATGATCTCCATCAGCGATAAAGTTTTTTAATGCATGGGTAAACATCCTACACTGCTTGTTTTACAGCACTGCTTCATCCTGTTCGCGGTTGACGATGCTTTTTAGGTTTAGCTCGTGTGATAAGTTACCTGTGTATGAAAGGAGCCAACGACAGCACAAGATAAATGAATGGGTAGGCCATCAATGAATTAATGTGGTTCATCAGTACCTGAAACGTGAACGTAGAATTTTTTGCGTGTTAAACAGCTCTACAAATCAAAAACAACAATAGGATCAAGATCAGTATCTGGGCAACTGCCTACTTGCCCCTCACCTAACCCAACATTAACCCTAACTTGTTATCAATTGACTGTTGTTGGGTTAGGGGAGGGGTAGGTGGGCATTTGCCTAGACACGCATCGCAACAGGAACGTACAGTCCACTTCGCGGAAGGCTTCGTGACCGTTCACTGTTCGCGATGTCACGTGGAGGAGCGATGCGTGACTAGACTAGAAAATACGGTCTGCAACTTGGAGAATGGAGTCTCATCACCAGTCCGCAAAGACACAGAGGGATTACTTACTCACCCTTCTTTGTTCAACGTCTGCCGCATTATTCATTCTGTGAATTCCTTCCCAGCGTTGGACCTAAAATCGTAGGTTCATCTCACTTCAATGAGCAAAAGTACGCTTTCACGAGATAGACCTTACAAGGAAATTTTATCATTGACCGATTCAATAGAGGCATTGATATTTGAATGCTAATCAATTGGTGATTGTTACAACCTACAACTTGAAATTTCCCAACTTTCCTACAACGATAACTCATACATGTTCATTTAATGTAACGTACATTCCTAATTTCTGGACTATTTCCAGTTTCGGCTGATCTGCCTCATTAACAGAGAATCGCTTCTCTTAGTCCAGCTCATCCGTTTGCCAGCTTACATTTTGTCATCCTTGGTCGACAATTCTACTGCAATCTTTTCATCTTTACTACTTTTTGAACAGGAAAAGTGAACCTTTTATTTACACTTAAGAAACATTTGGTACATTTTTTTGGCTTTGGAAGGTAAATGAATGAATGGTCACACGCAGAACTAGACGGGGGGGCTTGTCTGATAAAACTGAGGGAGTGACTAAAGAACTAAGTTCATGGCACGGCCACTTCACTCAAAAATCATGTACCAGCCCTTTGGCGATCAAAGATCTATCGATGCACTTCGGACGCGTCGAACTACACAGCACTTAGTTACTTATCTTAAAACATAAACACCGATAATCACATGCTAACCTGTCGCCGGTGAGTAACAAATATGTAAATATAGGCAACGAAGAGTCCAATGATGCAAATAAACAAAGGAATGTAGTACCTGATAAAAAATGGAGAGAAAGAGTCAGCGGCACCGTAAATTAGCTTGCATCTGTAGAAGGTAAAAGATATCTCATATCTTGTTATGGTAAGTCTGATCCTCGTTCAATGAACAGGTTCCACTGTCAGTCAAGAGGGAAGGGGGGAGGGGAGGGCCAACGACAATCTTTTGTGGATAAATAAATTATTAGTTGATTATCTGCCTGGTAAGATTAGTGTTGATGAAATGATAATTTTGTTTATCCAACAATCTCGACTAGATGTTTTTCAGGCGAAGTCATTAGTATATTCATGAAAAAGGTGACTGTCTGAAGTGTCTTGGATATGAGTGCAATCTTACGTTGCAAATCTCCATATGGCGCTTTTTTCAACATCGCCTGCTACCCAGCTGCAAAAAAAAAAAAAACAAACAAAAAACCAAAAAAACGGTTCATTTAATTAGTCACTGAACGCAATAATATACATTTTCTGGAAACTAGACACAAATACGGATACCCAGGTGCATGTAATGGCAAAATCTACACAAGCTTTTCTTGTGTTACCGAAACTGATTTCACCTTAAGTTCCATACGTTTAGTTTGTCGTCTAAAAAGCACCTGGAAAGCATTTGAAGAGCATGTGAATTAAATCGTCCCATTGATGTAAAATTGTTTTTGCTTATGCTGCCCCAGTAGCCCTCTAAGTATACATGAGAACACAAACACTCACGGAAGTGTTAAGAGCCTTGACTTGTGATTGATTACAAAAAACCCCAAATTTTAATAGGCTCCAAATGGTTTCCTTGAGTTTAAATACCTATTCTTTGATGGAACAATGCTACCAACATGTGTGTTCCCTTTAAGATGGTATCAAAAGAATGTTGATTTATCTTTCAAAATGTTTTATTCATTTTTATGTTATAATAGATCTCCATAGCAACAACTTGGCCTTGTTAATAAAAGCCAGTAACTCAAAAATGATTTCTGTCACCCCTGTTTTAAATCCACTGAATTGCAATCAGTGTGTCAGTACTCATCTTTCTGCCAAGTTTTGAAGTACATACTGCTCAGAGCCACCTTAACTCATGAAAAAATACAGTGTTTCTGAGCTGTGCGTCCCATTTCTTTTTTAAAAAAACTTTACAGAAATATAAATCTTGATATACTCTTAACAATTTGGTGATAAAATGGGGTTACAGCTACCTTGCTTTAAAGTTACAGGCAGATGATACAAGAACTAAGGGTTTCTATAAGAGGCTATACTGTTGCTATGGCAAATTTAATTGTTAAAAAAAAGGGTCACAATTTTTTGAGAAATAATTGAGCAGTTATTTTAAACCAAATCTAAGAAGGGAAACACAAAAATTTATAGAAACTATGTGATCTATCAAAATATTGGAGTTGTAAAATATCTAAACCACTTGGAGCCACCTTGGTCCTAGGCCTCCTGTAGAGTGCATGAGTAAATATAAATTTTATACACATATTAAAGCTTGTGTTAACTCCATTTTTAACAAAATGCTACTATGATTTTATAAAATTTTTGACCCAGGTGATTATCCAATGATTATCTGGTATGATGGCTAACACATCAAAAAGTACTGTACCCACAAGAACAGTACCTTGATTATGTTTAAGGTTGCATAAACCACCTAAACTAAATTAATAAATCAACACTCCACTTTAGACTCTGTAAGCATAGCATCCTATGTACTCAACTCCCCCAAAGACTCACCACCATGGTCCAGCAGGTCCGTAAACATTTTCACTGAATGGAGCACTGGCAAAGATGACTGGTACACCCCAAGACACAAAATGATACAACCTGAATAGAAATGCTGTCAATGTCATACTTAAACTCACATATTATTGTTGGCAAAAAAAAAAAAAACAAATTAAGTGAAATCCCATTTGGACCTTAAGACTTATTTCAGAAAATAGACAAATAATTGTTTGACTCACTTTTCTAAGCGTTTGGCTCTGTCTCCCCTCAAAGCTCTCCAGATATTGAAAGTAATACAGCAAACCCAAAACAGAAGCGCTAGTACTGAAAATGTAACATACTGATGAATTAGTTGATGCAACAATCTAATTTGACACTGGGTTGCAAATACCTTTGACCAAGTCATCCAGTTCTTTTAATTGTCAGAGTTATAAACTGAGGCCAATTCTAAGCTTATGATGGGTTCCAAAATTAAAGCAGTAAAATTAACATAACATTGTAACATGAGAATTGCTTACCAATGATTGCTTTTGATTTATAAATTTAACACAAATCCATTTACCAAAATATGTAATGAACCATGCTTGCAATTCACACAAGGGTCCTCTCTCCTGTGGGACACCTGTCTGTTAATGAATGAATGAAATTCACAAAAATATTAACTTTCCATGCAATCAATTCTGGCTCCAAGAGAAAACAAGTCCCATCTTCCCATCTAACAAAATATTAACAGAGAAAACTGCCTGGCAGAACCATCACTCAAAGATATAAGTAATCCAACCACTATCCGCACCAAAAGTGAGGTAACATCTGGATATCAGAGGCAAAAAGCGACCAAGAAAACTTAGTTCAATTTGGAGAAGAACTACTGCAAAAGAACAAAGTCAGTCTATCTGTCATTGGATGAGGGGAAAAAATGTTGCAAAGACTACACAAAGTGGAGTCATACCCTAGAGCCAGCTTTTGAGCAGCTTGGTACAAAAAAAAAATATAAGGTATTATTTAAGGCTATCAATTTTTAATGCACAAAATTTGAGGAATTTTTTTCAAGAAACCATATGATTTGTTCATACCAAATGACCCCATGCGATAATGATATATATTTTTTAAGATCAGTCCCTCTTAACTTGGTTATATTACAGGCCAGTACACCATATATCAAGTTTATGTATGCTAATTATTGAGACTAGGTTAACTGCTTACCAGCATAAATGAAATGCTTCCACATAGAGCTGCAACACTGAGTGCTAGAATTAATCGCTGAAATGTAACCCAAAATATTTTTCATTATCATTCATGATATAATGAAGAAGACTAAGTCACAATTTAGGGTGACTTGGGGTATTCCAAGTGTATGTGTTGCACAAAGTCCAATCAGACTAAAATACAGTGGGGTGCCAGAGACCTTGAGCTGATAGCAATGAGCATTTTGATATTTTAGCGGGTGTAAAATCTTGCACATTTATAAGCTCTTATAAGCATAAGTTTAGTGTTCAACAACCTTATTTCCAGGGTTTCTTCTTGTCCCTGGGAACAGGGTTGCATGTTCAGAAAATTTGCAAGGCAGTTCTTAAGTATATCAGTATTCTAGATAATTCTTTAAAAGTTCTCTGATCATGTGTACTTTAGGTAGTGTTGGGTTGATGCAACTGTCAAAAATGCAGTACTTGTAGTGGTTGATATGGCGGTTGACATATCACATGATTGTCAGTTGATTGTTGGTCAACAGTCAGTTGACAGGTATGCAATAATCAGTCAACAGTTGGCTAATATATATGGGTCAAGAGTTGATCAACATCATGCTTGATAAATTTCAATGTTCCACTAAGCACTTCACCTACACTTCACCAACAATTCAATGGTACTCCACTGAGTATGAGTTGCCTATTGGTTGATTGTCTGTCAAAGCTCAATTGACGCATGTCGATACTTCACTAATATTTCACTGCTAGCCAAACCATTTTGGAATAAAATAGAATAACATTATTAGAAAATAGATGAAAGTTTACAAATTTCTTTGACTGCTGTGACTGGTTTTCTTGTAATTTCTTGTCCACATAATCTTGATCTTCTCTCACACCTAAATTTGCAAGGATCTGCATGGTTTTGTGGGACAGTTTTTTAAAAAAATAGGGTTGATGTTGTCTTGTTACAGATCATGGATGATGTCAATTTTGTTATGGTGGAAGAGGAGGTCCAGGGCAGGGTAGTCACTGAGAGAAGTTAAGATTTAAGTCTGATGAGCATAGTCAGGTGCTGTACCCAAGAATAGACCAACTCTTGACCAATAGATTAATAACACTTTACTGAGACATCAACAAGCCACACATCAAATACCTGTCAGTCAACATAATGACCGAGTCTAGATGGATAGTCCATCTGTCTGTTGACCAACTGTTGACCAATACATCTGTCAATATGTCAACATATTGTTTTACCTGGTGGAAATACTTGTATGTTTTAAATAACCAGATGATGAAAATAACGAACAAGCTGCAAAATAACCAAAATTAATTAATACCTTGGAAAGACGAATAAATAGAAATGTAAAGAGGGATTGCCACGAATACATCCGAACAGAAACCTTGAATTCTCAGTGATTAAAGAATTTTAAATTCATGCTTGTTGTTACTGCTTTAAAGAGCAATTCCTTTTCTACCCAAAGTATTAGGGGGTATGATCCAAACGTAGCATGCAGTCAACATGAATATAGGTCACTTTTGTCGATAAAAATGTTTCACCGGCGGAAAAAGTCTTTGGAAATTTGGAAAAAAGAACATAATGAAAGCCTTTATTGAAGCATAAACTCATAGTTGAGTCCGAGCCAGTGGAAAATATCTTTGCGCATTGCAAATCACTGCAGGAAATTTGTGTTTCGTTCATTATGCTGGTCGTGACGTACTATCCCATGTTAACGGCTCAAGTGAAAGTTATGACTAATAACGATTGATGGGAAGCAATCCTCGTGAGCTGAGTTTAGAAGATCTCGGATTCTAAGGAGGCCTCAAACACGGATTATGTTTTAACGATGTACTCTTCTTACATTTTCGTACTTCTCTTACTTTTCTACTCTTGACATAACTTATAAAAGTAGATGGATGCGTAAGTTCGGAATATTTTTACGACTTAAAGAGCACGACTGAAACAAATTTGAAAGGAAGTAAACGCTGATCCTTTCGAAATCACCCAACTTCCGATCTCATCCAAAGTTCGCGACTGCTTTCGAATCGCGCGCTCAGGTACAATTTGACGTTCACAGAGTCTCCCAAGATCATCATGAGAATAATATCATTCAAATTTTAATAAAGATTACCTTCCAATCAGTTCCAACGAAGACACGGTTTGTTTCACGGCATAGATCACCGTCTGAAACATCAGCATAAAGATCAGTAAATAGACATTCGAGGTATAGCAAACTTCACTCGTATAGTAACCTACACAATAGTGCTGCTTGTCCAAAAACAACGTGCAGTTGTTCGCCATATTGATATGTTGATGAAAATTGTTTAGTTTCTATCAGGAAGTAAATCTGTTCGAACTCCGTCACCCTTATTTGGTCACACCCAGTCACGCTCGCACCAGGACCTTCAGGGAACAGACGGCGTTGGGCCCCTAGAACAACGCTTGCAACAACGCCTCAAAGTTGTTCAAATTACCTCTTTGACGGTACAATTTGCTCACGTGAGGTGTAAAGTTTTTTTCCAAGAAAAATACCAGCTAAAGAATTCAGACCAACAAATACTTATGAAACAGAGCCGTACTGTATGGGGAACCTCAATTGTCTAAGAGCGGTACAATGTTCGAACACTGATTGTAGAAAAGTGGGATCAATCCAGCAAGTGAGAGAACAGTTAACCTATCTTAGAGATCCTTTCACGATAGCTGATAGACTGTAAGTCTCTTCACTTTTTGCTTTTTCATTCCAGCACCTCGCCTTACTTCGTTGAACAGTTATTCTTACTGTTCTGACAGTCTTTCCCGATGACTAGTCGAGGCTATTTGTGAAGGCTTGACAACTCATACACATGTCTCAAAACTGGTTTTTATTTAATATAAGAATAAATTTGACCTGCTGTTAACACGACCTGCAAAATATCTCTATGTAAATATTTGATTTCCACTTTTTCAATCACAAAACCATTTAGTGTATAGATATATATATAAATGGAAAAAAAGAAAATGAAAATTTTTCCTTCTTGTCACAAATGAAGATACAAATTTTATACAAAAATAGTCAAGTCTCCGATAAAATTTATAGATTCAAATAACAAATCCAGTGTTTATTTTAGATTAAAAAAAACATGAACTGGTACATGGAATAGCTATTTCAAATTTTTTTCTCTACAAAAATGTCCTTCCTGCGGGAAATCACGTTACACAACTAAACTAAACCAATTTGCAATAATGTCTTTGGTAAAAATGGCTTTGCTCTCCAGCCAAAGACGCCATTTGCAATTGCTCTTGGGAAATCACAAGCAATGAAAACTCTTTTATACAATCATCAAATAATTACAATTTAACCCTAGATATGTATTTGTGGAGTCCTTTCCACATTTTAAAACAGTTATGGTATCAATGTAATGGCTAGCAAGATTAGATGACAGAATATGAGTCACGTTTCCTAATACATGAACTATTTCCAATTTACTGAACTAGTGTAGGACTGTCAAGTTGAAGTCATGATTACTCATCCAATTAATTTGCGTATTTCTTGATAGCACCAAGAATCTGAAAGAGAACAGCAAGACACATCAGTTTCCATTTGTGCTACAGTTGAACAGTCTATTATAGGGTTCACTATCGACCAACCTCAGTTCAACGTCACATTGTTATCCTTTTCTTTGAACTTTATGTGAAAGACGATCTTTAGGCATTTTAGTCTGTTAGCAAACGCTGACTATGCCACATAAATCTCTGCATTGAGCCGCATGGGGTTAAATCTCATAGGATAAGATGCCTTAGATGGAAGGCTCGAAACAATTTCCTGGTAGGCGCCGGTCAGGTTGTCCTGTCAAATCTATTTTTGCTCGGATATCGGATAAACATCCATTTCGTCATATAAACGTACAGCAAAAAAGAAGAAACACACACACATACCGACTTTGAGAGGTTGCGAATACTTCACAGTATTTAATTACGTTTCAATACAAACTGATCTCACCATATTATGATAGTCATTGGGAATACCGGCTTCTAACAATTCTTGTTCCGACAACTGACAGAGAAGCTCCAAGCTATCTGCGCCAAAGTTTATGAGGTTGGTTGTGAACTGAGGAAGTCCGATTCTGTCCATTATCTGTTCAACTGTTTTGGGTTTAGATTTCTATTACAGAAAAGTTAAGAGAATTGATGGCAGAGGATGCTATAAATACAGCAAGAAATTCATATTCAAATACGTTAAATTTTGTCAATTGCAATGGTCGCCAGGATACCTTTGTGGGATATGATGAAATCAGGCGGTTAGGGTGTTATATATGTTGATACAACGTGACTTAAAAAGAGAAAAGAAATCAACTAGTTTTTGTTCGCTGAGCAGCGTGTTCAATTCTCTTCGTTGAAAAAAGGCAACTTTCTTGACTTAGAGAGAATTTTAGAACAACCATTACAAATTTTACTATTCATAAAACAATCATATAAACTCTACAGAATGACCTTCCGCTCTGATTTATCAAAAGAAAGGTATATACCTTGACGGGTAATGGGGGTGGTTCCCTGGGCGCCTGAAAAAAAGATCGTAGTAGTTAAAAATGATCACCATCTATCAACTATTTTTGCTTGTGCGCGATTGGTCTAAACGTAGCACTTGACCGAATATGCCTCAGCTTTTGAAAACTGGGGAGTATCCGAGAATATTCCCTAGGTGATATTCCCCAATTTTCAAACCTTATCCAGTGAACAGTAAGACGTTCGTAAAATATTTTTTTCATACGCGTTGCAAAAATATTTGAAAGATAATAAACACAATAGCCTCCATTTGCCGCGAAAACATGCTGGTATATTAGTCCTTAGACATCATCGGGTCCTCGAAGCACACAGTTTTCCGCGAGCTTCGTTGTTAGAGAACTGTTTGCATCTCGGAACAGATACTGTAGGGGGACAAACATCCGTGTATATTTCGCGCCAAATGGAGGCTATTATTTATTCATCCAACAAAAATTTGAGAGCTGAAAACTTGACGGGTAGGAGCTTTTAAAATACCGTAAAACACTGTGTAACAAAAATTCACCCTCAGAGAAAGTTGACCTCCGACACTGTAACATTTAACCGTATGGAAAAGTATCCGAATATAAAACAACCGGTCATTACGAATCCCTCTTCACCTCACACAGTACTACTAAGGGTGAAAATGAAACAAGCTTGGTTGAAGCAAACGAATAAAGTTGAAGTAAATAAAAAAACCAACCTTTGTGTCGTCTGTCTGAGGGGCCGAATGTCGTTTAGGGATAACTGGAGGGATATCCTCACCACGGTGGCCATGCCTGGGTAGAAAGACACAACCAAGTTAAATGTTTTCAACCGAAAGTAAGTGATCTCAGTGAGAGAAGAATGGATGCTACGAAGAAAATTAATGTGGAGGTGTACGGTATAGAATTAGAGCATGATAAAAAGCTTCAAAAGGACGAGTGGGCACATTTTATTTTGACAACATTGTAAGATTGTTTGAGTATTGAGAAACATATTCTGAAAATAGTTACTTATAGATTTGTAAGATGGGTAAGTCTATACTTACTTTTCAGCCGAAAACACGTCTGAAATAGAATATCATCACAAAACCAAAATTAGTATTTGTGGACGCTGTTATTAAATCTTAAGCTTAACTTGGTGTCGCTTCAATATTTTCTGGCACCAATATTTTCTAATAGGTTGATTGTCAGAATTCTTGCCAAAAAAAAGCTGACTGAATGACGAGCTAATTGACTGAACTGACTGACTGACTGATTGACTGACTGACTGTCTGACTGACCGACTAACTTACTGACTGACCCCCAATGACCTATTGATAACTATCAATGACTAGGCACTCAGTGCTGACTTTAGGGCGAGCGACCGACTATTTACAGAATGTGTCACAGCCGCCCCATTCACCATCGGCAGCCTCTTGAAACCCATGAGAAGAGAGCCTTTACGGAGGACATTTAAGTTATGTAATTCATAAATATTTTATTTCATTTCTGTTAACAACCTTGTGGCGCAAGGCTTTTGCGCTGTGGTACCTGGGGCGTTTTCACTGACCCTCTTCTGTTGACTAAAAGTAAAAGGAATTATACAATCTTTAATAACAAAGTTGTCACCATACATCTCATTCTCATTGCCGCCGCAGTCAGTAACCAATTGACAAAGGACCTGGCAGCTACGAAACTCGAGGAATAGTCTCCGTCATTTTCAAAGCATTTCAGTAGAAAAGTAAAACACTTACTTTCTTCCAGATTAGCCTCGCTAATGAGATCTACGTGAAATAAAGTGACATTAGTTACTTAACATCTTTTTACAACAGTAGTGACCCATCTTGGACAAGCATCTTTTCGAAACCTTGGAAAAACACTTAAAGGGCGCATACTCACTTCGTTACGAGAAGGTATGTTATGATTTTATAAAGTATTGCTGATCTAAAGATGTTCCACTCCCCTCCCCTCCGCAAAGGAAATATTCTTGGAAACAAAAGGAACAGTTACCTCACGAGACCATAGTTACACTGTTAGACTGAAAATGGAAAACGATTGCACAGTAAGGAGGATGTGCACTTTGCATGTGCTTGTACTTAATTGATCCAAGACGGTTCGCTATGATTGTAGGAGGGTTGTAATATTTCAAATAAAGCGCTATCAGACACTGCCTGCAAGAAATGAGCGGGTTGTCACCCAGACATTTTCCCCTGTTTATTTTGATTTAATGCCGTTAAATTCGTAATCTCAACAGGTTGTTCTTCCACTAACAAACGGACGGTAAAAAAACTGCTTTAAATTCAATGTTAATCATTACCAGAGGACTGTGAAGACATCTTTGTGTTGTTGTTGTCAGGAAGCTTCACGTGCATCTCAATGCTGCCGAGAAACAGATACTTATTCCTTCACCGGTACAAAGAAAACTACAAAGAAAACTACATCATTTTAAGTTCTCAGCTGTATTTCAGGATGACAGACAACGTACCTCTTCCAAAAAAACTGTTGAGACTTGAAGAAATCGATTAAAATTACAGATTTTATGTCACCAAGTTACAATGTTAATCGTGAATTATAAAGTTAGTTAATTTTAGATACAGACTCAATTGTAACGTGTACAGCAATCAGATCCTTCTAAAATCACGAGCAGAACGTAATCTTACTTGATTTCTCCAGTTTTCTCGCCCAGATGCGATAGTATGATACCTTTACGCTTCTGAGGAATGACATTTACCATTGTTCTGAGCGCAATGCAGCACTCTCCTGTAAAAAAAATTATTTCCCAAGAAATGTCGGCAGACTACGACTCCCTCCCTTAATTTACTATTTATCAATCGAGAGTTAGATCGTTAGAGAAAAATCTAAAAGTGAGGGCTTACCCGAATTGACCGTGCAACAGTAAGGTAGACAAAGGCTTGAGATTTTCTAGTAACGACGCAAGGGCCGAATTTGATACGTTGTTCATTATATGGCTTAAAAACGTTGGTGTTATAAATTACAACACGGTCCTGAATAGCCCACTGTGCATTTGTGTGCCAAGCCAAACCTTTGAGTAGAAATAATTCTAAGAGTGACATTGTTCTCGTGGACATAAAAAACCTAGTAGGGCATCTTTCAATTGAGTATTAAAAATAATCCGGGACTGCTTTGGTTTCACTTTGATGCGCGCTGAGATTGGTCCAAAACGTTGTGCCACCCTCTCAACCAATAAGATGCAAGAGCTAAATTGAAACTAAATCCCCATCATCATCAAACTTCGAAAGTTAATTAATAATTATGACTTAAAGTTAAGTGTCACATATTTACAACAGAACGTTACCGTAAGATTCGTCGTTGTCTACGGACTTGATGGCCAACAAGAGATACTGCTCTTCAATGAATTTATGATCTGATATTATGGGATGGAGCTGAGTAAGGGAACAAAGGTTACCATGTTATAAAGGTATTGAATCCGGGACTATCAGAATGAATTGACCAATGAGAATACTAGATGAGTGCTACTCACTGGAGGGATAACTTCTTTTCCCCACGCGGGGAAAACATACTGTTTCTCCTGAAGGTATTTAGGTGAGTCAATCACCATGTTTTTTTCTGTTTTCATCATCTCTGTTACGACACCGAGAAAAAAAAAGAAAGAAAAACAAAGACACAAGGAAAGATAAAACAAGAAAAGTGGAATAAGTGATTGAACAATCATACTGTAGACCTGCAACGCCCCCAGAATGGCCCAAGCAAATGTTTGGTACAACAACAGTAGTCTGTTACATGACAAAAACATTCTGATTCACATTTATCGCCTAAAAAAATAATTTTCCAGCGTTGAAGGCCAAAATTCTGATTTAGTTTCTCTGGTTTGTTTTAAAATTATTGAATATTCTGTGGTTCCATAACTCGCTCTCAATCAAGTTAATTTTCTCACTTACCTTCCAAACACGTGGAGTGAAATTCCACGTAGTACTGTGTTTTGCTGGTGGTTTTGATCTGTAAAGATGAAAAGGGTAGACTAAAATCACAATATGTTTCCATTGTACATTCATAAACACCTTCCCCACTCACAGATACCAAATTCTTTCCAACTAATTCAACAACCCAGTCACAATCCCCCAATTAAGACTGCTTGGACTCTGTTTTTAGAGAGTTATGTTATGAAGCTTACGGCAACCGAAAAAAAATCAAACTTCTTGTGGCCGAGTCTCCATCTAGAAGTTTGGGCGCCGAAACGGAGCTACTAGCATTGGTTGTGAACAACAGGTTTTAAACTACTTTTCTACAGGGTTTAATGAAGCCTTCAGTTCATAACTAAAAATGACAATGGAATTGTAAATGTAGCCACGATAGGTGCTACCAAGTATCACTGAATAAGATTTTTAGAGGTTAGAACTGATCACTTACCATAGCGCTTATACGAAGAAACCTTATGACGCACTGTCCAGAGACGGGACTCCTGGGAAGACTTTGATCTGGAGAAAAAAAACAAAGAAAATGATCCAAACATGTTTAAAGAAGGAAGGAAATGGTCCATAACCTTAGCTTCTGAAAATACGCTGCCATTAACTGAACATTTGGCTCACCTGGCTATTTAAAGAAAACTGGCTGATTTCAAAATCAAATCGTTAGTTCGCGTCATTACCTATAACATGTTTATAAATTATGGGCGACTGGTCAAGGTAAATCAGTGTTTTCAGTAAAGTTGGGCATATTCTTATCCCTAACCTTTCTTAGAGTCGCCAAGTTAGGTTATTTCAAGTCTTCACATGAAATTTCCAAGCAATGGCTTGTGTAATATGCAAGTGCCTCTGTCAATCAAAGTAGTAACTTAAAGGTAAAAATTACCAGGTGAAACAGTGAATGGTAGGGACATATCATAAGTACAGAAGACAGGCCAGTGGTCACTTGATTTGATGGTGGCAGCACAACCTACAAGATCAACAATACTTGTTGCCACAACCACTTTGAAAGAGAATGGTAGAGAAAGCCGGCGCTGTCCTTAGAGCAATCTACTGTTAAATCTTATTGAAACGGGACCCTGACGAAGGCTACCAACGTGTTAAAATAAATGCAAAATTTTCACATAAATTGGCCTGAACTCTTTTTTTTCCCACAAGAGTTCACCAAGGAATCCTCACATTTTAACCGTGGATTTAGGAAATTGAATGTTCGCTCAAATCGCACAAATCGAACCAAGTCGGACCCAGTCCATTAGATTGCGTTGGACATGACCACTACGTTAATGCTTTTAAGGCTATGAATTTAATTAAACCCATTTCCCCGAAATTTCAACGTTTACAGAAAACGCGTGCTGCAGTCCTGAGCATATTCTGAGGTACTGGAGCCTTTAAGAATTTGCCATTCCTTTTGAGTTCCAATTTTACAAGAATCAAAAGGTTGAAAATCGAACGTCCTATTAAGTTCGATCACACGTGAGTGGATTGGATTTTCCTCGATTGCTGAACACAATCGAACTCTATTCGCGCTGATTGCGATCACTTTAGCTCGTTTGAACGAGAGGGATGGATGCATTCAGGGAATGTTAGACAAGAACTACACCTACCGTATGAAGTACAGGAAATCTTAGATTGCGGATATGAATGCTTCAATACTCTGTCACACCAAGATGGTACATTAATCAGCACCTGCAGTAAGACCATTGTTGGTGATTTATCTCAGATCTCTAAATATTATCATTGAAGCAGTAGTATCAGTATCAAGGCAAACATTACCCCTGATCTCTTAGTCTTCTCCCAGGTGTATTCATTACTGCCTCTCTTGTATCTGTATGTTGGTGCAAAGGTAATCATTTCTTCCTCTGAAATTGTTAAAATTTTTCTCAGAAATCAGATTTAAATGAACGAATGGTAAAAAAAAAAAAATCAGAAATATGCACCTCTCAAAGAAGGCTTCGCGTGTTTGTGGTATACATTAAATATTAAGTAAACTTTAGATAGGTTGAACATTTATTTCAAATCTCACCGAATCCAACAAACACGGCATCGTTATCTTTCTCTGTTCTTAATTGGTCGTGATCTCTCAACTTAGTAAAATGATTGGCTCTTACAGCATTGAGTACATCCTACAAACAAGAAGTGCAGGTTGAGACGCAGAACATATGTACTGAAGGCCACAAAATACAATGATGGTGCTCTATGATCATTTGGGCAAAGGAAGTCCTCAATGGGACTATTTCCGGTGAAAGTGACCCAACGTTTCAAGAACCTGAATGGAAGATTGTTATTAGAGATTGACTCCAGCTTGACTCTGTCTGATAAAGACTTCCGTTTAGGTTAAGGAAACACCCCTGGTAAAATGTCCTTTGATTGATAATTTGAACAATGGACACTTCAGAGTATATTATAGGAACATTTCCTATTCTCATATAATTTTTGTTTCTGAAAATTTCCAAAGCTAAAACTGATAATATGGCAAGGTAGTCGTAAGATAAATCGGAGCGTTCTGATTGGTTCTAACTCGGTCGGGATTTTGCCATACAGACCATTTCCATGAACGGTCATAAGTCTTAGCCGCGTATTCTTGTTCGCCAAAGCCGGCAAAATAAAAACAAAAATGTTTGGTCCGAGCGTCATGTAATAAACTACTTACTAACCTCGCTTGCTTGAGCAGTACTGAGGAATATTGGCCCTCGGTCGTTTTTGCACAGACCTCGCAGCCCTCGGTCCATACTACCACGACCTCGGGCCAATATTCCACAGTACGGTCCTCACGCTCGGTTAGTAACTAACCCTAAGTTATTACGGCTGCCTTGGTTAAAAAAATGCTCTTTGCAAAACTCTATTTTTTCACACATTTCTGTAAACAGCCAGCTCTAGAGTCTTTTTACTACCTCAGTTATATCTTAAGGCAGAAAGTCAAGGAAACAAGACAGTTTCTGTTGGACATTGTTGTGAGTAGAATAACTTGGAAAAGCAAATACAAAATAGTGGATCTCTGTCTGTCCTTCTTGCATTGTTTGAAGTAACTGAAATAACCTCGGGGTAAAAAAGAAAGACAAAAGCTTCTTTCCCTTACCTGAACATCCATATCTATTCTGTAATTAAGATCTCCAAACCAAAAGACATGATGGAACTGATGAGTGATACCAAATACACCTTTTTGACCCAAATTGAGCCCCTTGAGAATATCAAGAAAATTCTGATTCCGCCTACAATGAACACAAAAAGACCATTATAACTGCGACCTTATTCTTATCAATTTGGCACAAGGTGATACTGAGAGAACTTTCTGTAGAAATTACCACTAAAACGAGCCGATTTTTGTATTTTAGAAGAGAGTTTAGTAATTATTAAATTCAGGCGGTAGCACTTTCAATATCGCCCTCTCCCCTAGTCTTGTAAGGTTACTAACATGAATAAGTTAAGTAAAAGAGATCATTAGCGCAAAACATTGATATCACACAGACACTATTTGAAACAACCAAAGGTTCAGTTGTCTCAACCACAACTTCAATTACTTTTAGGCTGTGCCAATAAGCTGACACAAAATACAAGGAAAACAAAACGCTCCATGCAAACAAAACTATGTCAAAATGAAGTTGAAAGAAAGTTAGCCTGTTCCAGGCGTTCAATCAGTAAAACAAAGCCAAATAGTGAACTGCGCGATAGTAGCGGCAGAGCGAAACTGAGGGAGGTGTGGGGCGGGTCGTTCATTACGCGACATGACCCAACCTCTCTCGTTTTTTCACTCCTCCGCTACTATAATGCCGTTTACCATCGCGCTTTGTTCTATTAATTGTAGTCATCGAGTGCCTGGAACAGGCTGAAGAAAAGTCCATATGATGTCACATTCCATTCCTTTCACAAGGAAGGTTCCATTCTGTCAGTTGAGAGATCTTAAAAGAGTCAAGGTTTAGATCTAATGGAAATAAAAAAATCTCAAGACAAAAAACCTAAATGGTTTTATTTCTTAGTCACCTCCGAACCCTTGCAGGAGTACCTCTTGCTGCCAGATGACAATTAATAAAACACAAGGAAAGTGGACCTAGAGAGAAAGAGATACCTACTCCACCTTTGTTTCCTGTCAAAAAATGAGAGATGATGAATTGATCAATAGTAGAACAAATGGTTTTTAACAAGTTTGAGTAATTTCAATCCAAAGGGCAGGCTTGATTCAATAACCGTGTTCAGTATATACTGCTCCTTGGCCCTGTTAAGACCCACCACTATTCATGTTCACTTCAGTGGATATCTGTTCACTATTACAATTTCCATGTGCTACCCAAGATTAACTGTGCGTCAAAAAATATAGTTAAGAAGACACTTAAAGCCTATAGTCAAACAACTGACGCGCCCTAAACATTAAAAGAATCGATTACATTGAGTGAAGACATAAAAATCTATAACTGAGTACAGATAAAATCATAAAAAAAACATCACAGACTGTATCACAACACAATGAAAATAAGCGATATAATGACAATGATCAAAGTTCACGTTCTTACCAAGAGCATTGGCTATGCCAGTCTTCACACTGGACTGTTGTAAATGAGATATCATATTCTTCAGATCTTGATTAATAAATACAACCAGTCGAATACTCCACAATGAACACACAGCAAGCTAGAGGGATAAGAAAAACAAAACAGGCTAAGCAATTATGGTAAGGATACAATACTCTAGGTGATTTCAAACAAGATAGGGCTGGAGCATGAAGTTGGAAAGGAAAAAACTGGCAATCCAGAATTCAAAATCATTTTCATAGAATAGTTACCCTTTTCTTAGTGTCATCTTATGAAATTTAGAACTCTACATAATCACTGAGTCCCTCCAAGGGAAGATTAACCCCTTCAAACTCCATGTCTTTGGATAATTTTGAGCATGTGCAAAATAGATACCATTGCTAAAAACTGCACTTGGTGCAAAAGCTGGTACAAATAGGACCTTTGAAAGACATAGTAATTTATTGGTTACTCAATCAGAGTGAATGAAAATACTCTTGTCCTACAGCACTGTCTGTATGTTCCATCTCATGGTCATCAGAGCAGAGAAAGACTGATGATATCAAACTGCATAGGATGTCATGTTGGCGAAGCCCCTAAGCAATGATGTCACACTGGATAAGAAGGCAGTTTAGATTGCTACAAAGAACCCAAACTTGTTGGGATTAAGAGTTGAAGCCCCTTTGCATTTTTTTGCCACGGCAACCAAGAGATTATCTTCCACCCACACTAGGTGCACCCTGATGAAATGAATCTGCATTACCTCTTGTGCCCAGCAAGACAAACCGAAGCTGAAATAACATACCATGTGGAATTCCTTGCTAGGATAGAACTTTTTTAAGTCATCTTTTATTCTGGAAATCCAGTCTCTTTCACTAACAGGACATTCCTAAAGAAAAAATTGGCAAAATAAACAAACAATAACTCTCTTGAGTACAAGGAAAGATTGAAATTTACATTTGATGAGCATCCTGCATCCTGCTAAAATCATTTCTGTTGAAAGCCCCTTGTGTGTTCACAATGAATAGTTTGCATATAAATTTAGCTTTGTTTGTTATGCCTCACTCAATTAAAGGGCTGATACTCAAATTATTTATTTAAGTTTTCTGCAAGTGTTTATTTATCCTTAAGCTAGAGAGATGCAAAATATGACACCAATTCAATGTCCTATGATAAAAAAAGTACATAACCCTCATAATTTTTTGTGGGTAAAAAGGCATTGGGTACCAAAATACTGTCTATGAAAAAATTGTAAGTTTCATATCTCTTGATAAACATGATCTCATTGTAAAAGTTCGTTTGAAATATATGATGCACTGATTTCCTTAACAACCACTGATAATGTAAGGGAATAAATCAAATAATATTTTCACCAGCCTGATAAAACATTTTAGGTCCATAAATACCTGTGTTCCAATTGCATAGATATCATGAGGAAGGAAAGTCATGGCTTCATCCAGTGTCTTGCCATTACCTTGGCATTTGAGCCAGGATTTGATATCAAGAGGAGGATTTGCATTACCTGAAAAATGAGGCATCATGTTTACCCAAATGACTTCTCTTATTTTATTTTGCAAAAAGAGGAAGATCTTGAGAGTCTATGATGTCAAGAGCATGCCAGGCTCTTCAGACTCAGTTGGACACTCCTAAGATTATGTAGTCTTTGTTAGATGAATTGCAATTCTTTGTCCAGAATTTTAAAATGTAGTATCTAAAACAAAGTTAAACAAATGGTTTGAGTTACAGTAGCTTCAGAAATGGATCAGATTGCTAAATTTTTGTACCTACATCAGACACTAGACTACATAACCTAAATTATTGAGCTTGGGTCAGAAATCAAACTTAATCTGAATAAATTATTAAAACTTCTCTCCAGGTTAGGTTTTCCCCTTAAATAAGTTATTCCTTTGGATTGCTTACATCACAGTTTACAAATGTCCTACCCATGTTCCATGTCCCAATAAAGATTCTCACTTGGGTCTTCAGTTCATTCTTAGAGTGCTGATTCTTCATCAGCTGCACAAGTTGGCAAAACAGCTCACGGGACTGCAAATGGAGAGAAACAAATGAAACAATGCATCACTTTGTCAATATAGTGCAGGTGCTTGAAATGTACATAGCACAAACATTTGGTAGACTCTTAATATTGTGGATATTATACCAATCACAGAAATGCTTATAATAAAGGACACAAAGGTATTTGGCGAGGTACAATGGTTGTTGTTAAATGTCTTGTTTGAGTGTTAATGAGTGTTAATTGTTCATGTTTGCTTTGTTTTGATTGTCTTTTGCCATTTTTTTGCATCTACATTAACAAGTATCAAATATTATGAACTTTGTAGGTCCACTTCATATATTTTTCCTTTGTGCGATATCAAAGCAGACAATCCCAAGAGGCAAGATAGGGCTCAGTTAGCCAATCAGTACACAGGATTTGCTTCATATTGCCCACAGGCTCTGCCAGCCATAAAAGAATTATATACTCAAGCATCAACTTGAAAGTAAGATGAAGTTTCAAAAACTTCCCTGCACATACTTTAAAGTATTAAAAGTAATAAAAACACTTTCAATGAGTCTTAAGGCCTTATTTTGTTTTTGATTCATATAACACTGTAAATCATTAAAAAATAGCAAAACAGCAAAATTGATGTGAGTACATGTAGAGTTGAAGGTTGAAAAGCAAAAAGTTGAAGGTAGTTTGACAGGCAGATATGTAATTGAAGAGAACAGAAAGGGTGATCATACTGTTTATTCAAAGCATCACAGATTCCTAGACATGAAAAAAGAAAAGTGGCAAAAATTGTTACCTTGCCATCATCAAACTCAAAGTCCTTGGAAGGTTTGGACTCAAGCTTCATTCTCAATCTCTTCATATTATCTTTTGATTTAACCAACTGAAGAACTATCACAAAAAGAGAATAGTTTCAGAAACAGTGCAGTATTTAAATAAAAGCTGATATCTACAAAATGTGGACTAAAAATATCATATCACCACTGATTACAAAATTACTTTTCTCAACTATTAAAATTGATTCCACTAAATAAATTGTACCTCTGCTTTGATCAGAAGAATTGTTTGCATCTATAACATCATTTGGATTCTTCAAGAAGGAGATCCGGCCTGAAATAAATTTTTATCAATGTACAGTATCTAAGGCATTTCCTTTCAATTAAAACCTACACACACATAACTTGCAGTTTGATAACAATACCACGGTTGAAGCTCTGTTGGTAATTACTCCCAACCCGATGTACCAAGTTCCACCAAGCTCTAGTGCACAGAGATTTAATTAAGGATGAAATGCTGTAATTCATCATTACATTCAAAAACTGAGTGAAAAGCTCTCTATTCCAATTCTATTGACCCTGTTTACCTTCAGCAAAATTGACCAAGATGTGCACTTTGTTTTTAAAGCTTGAGGATGCCATTCCCTGTGTAAGAACCTAGATTGGTATAATAAAACATAGGTGAAATAGTGTAACCATGCAACTCATTGTTTGTGAGTTATATAAGCACTTCCACAGTTTCCCTTACCAACTGCTGTATGGCAAAGGAACCAACAAATAGAGACTGGACCTTAGAAAGTGGTCCAAATTGAGCCTACTGGCTTCACTATTTAAAAACTTTATAACTGTCATGCTAGACACAAATCCTGAATGGTGACAATTTCATTCTTTGTTCATATTTATGTTAATTTAAGCCCTATGCAGTATATCTCAGTCTCTTCTTTAGACTAGACTTCTAACCTAAACAAGGCAGAGAGGACTTTAATATATTAGCCATTTACGGTCGAGACTGGGCTAATAAACAAGAAGGAGAAAAATAAGGATGTTTTCTTCCATTTCTGAACTATATGTACATTCTGTTTACAAGTATATACCATGTAATAGTTAGGCAAAATAATTAAAGGAAGTCTTAAGAGACTAACCTCAAAGATCAGGGTTTTACGCTCAGGTTCCTGTTTTTCTTCTTCACTGTTAATACTTGCTACTTCCCTCAAGGCATTGACAGCCTGTGGAAGAAAAGCATTTGTCCAAGTGTTAAACATCCTGTAAATTGGCCAGCATTACTGAGATCAGAAGCTTTGGGGATAAAGCCTTGAAGATTTATTATAAATGATTAGACCCATGCTAGTTAACCACACAAACCAGTTTGGCTGATGGTGGAACCTGACAAAGTGCATACATAGCAGTATGTAAATCCAACAATTCATGCTATTTTTTTGGCCCAATCTGTCACCACAACATAATTTCAATAAAAATTCTGGTAATTCAAATCAGCAATACTTTGAAACTCTCTGCACTATAGATTTACGGCATAATATTGTATATCTACAGACTAAATGTTTCTAAATGCTTCTGTAGAAAGTAGCACCAAATTACAAAGTAACTGAATTTCTGGGTTCTCAGAGTCTTAAACTTGACAAAAACATTAACAACTCAACAACCAAGTGAACATTGCAGGATGCCCTGATCCACAAACCTATTGACTATTCTGAATAAGACTGCATTAAACAAACACACCTGTGCTTGTAATGATTTTGCTCCTGCGATGCTTTCTGCTAGGAGATCCATCAGCAACTTGAAGTTTGGCTCTTCCTATTTAAGACAAGACAAGCCACTGTAAAGCATAAAATGTGATACACCTCTAATCTTCAATATATAGATCACAACAGAAATGTTTACGAACTAAGAAAAGGTATATTTATATTCATGCTATCAGATATCAACACTTCACTAACAACCACCTTAGTAAAACCCTATTTGAATTCCAAAAAATCTGTTTTCATCTATTCCCATATGGAGTCATTCCTTTATGGCATCATTCATGTTTACTTAGCATTCCCAGACAATTACAGGGATTGTGACTGAAAATTTTCTTTATATTCAAGTTCCCATGAGGAAAAACTCAGAAGGGAATCTCTTTAGCCTCTGAAACCTTTAAGGTTTGTCAACAATAATCTTTTTCTCTTCATCATTTCAAAATGATAGAAGGTGACAATTACTTACTTCTGCTGAATGTTCTGGAAGCGAGCATTTCTGTACCAAAAAAGTTAAGAGTTTCAAAAAGTAATTACTTGAGGTATTTAGCATTCAAGGATTTGCACCTTCAACACCAATTACCATGTTACTAAATTTTTGTTATCAAATTTTCACAATTTGAAATTGTAGGCTACCTGGGTATCTTTCATTCTATGAAGGGATTAAAACTGTAGTTTCTGTGTTCAGATATTTATGTTACTTCCTAAGTTTATGAGATAAAAAAATTGCAAATCAGAGAACTGGTATGTGTAGCAGTCCGTTCCACTACTCATACTATAGAAACCAATAATATTACATGTCAACCAGTGGTTCTGGCTATCAATGAATTATCATCAAATTCTGTTTCACTGGCGATATTATTTTTTCCATTCCCCTTGATCTTGATTTAAGCCTAAGAAATTCAAACTCAGGTCTAGAAGTAAACCAAGCACCTACAACTACAGGATTGTGCAATGAAGGTATCATTCATTGGCAAATGCAATGCTGAAGATGGCAAGAAAATTCTTTAGAATCAGGGAGACCTAGAACATAGTAAGTTGCCAGGGTAACAAAATTGGTGAGCTCAAGAATTGTTATCCACTAAGTTATAGAGAATCAGCCACTATAAAAAATTTAAAAAATTAACTGTATCAACTGAAGAATACTTTATGAAGTACTATACAAGAGCATAAATTTACAAAATTTTACAAAATAATGTACCAGCTTATGTTGGTCTCCAAGACTAAAAACATTCTCCAGCATGTTCACTCTTGACAAGAAAAACTGCAATTCTCTGTGTAAAAAATGGTAATTATTTATTCATTACGCAAGGTCACTGGTGTTGGAAAGAAGTAGCACTCTTTGAGTCAATTTTATGCTTACTCAATAGAAATAATGAATTATTCAAGAACAACTTACAGTCTAAATGCTTTAAAAAGGCATCTCATTTCAAACTCCTGACCTTAGTTATAGATATTACTTTGCATTATGTTTACACTCATTGTAAAGTAAAAGTAATACTGTATGTCATGTTTGTCAAGTAAGGCAAAGTCCCATTTTAACACCAACCAGTCATTGTAATATACAGCTGCAGTGAACTTTTGAGGGAGTTTGTTCTTCAAAAGCAAAATGAGAAAAAAGGAAGAGACCTCTTGGAGAGGTGGAGTTGTTTATTTGTACAAACATTATGTTTTCATTAGAAAAACTCCCCAAATGACCAGATTTCCAACCTTCACAATGGATCCAGGAGCCTTTCAGTAAATAATTAAACACATAGTTTCATTTTAAGCATTTTGTTAAAAACAAAAAAAAAACTTATACTCTGTTCACACTAAAGCTTAAACATGTTTTAAAGCTGTTTTGTTGTATGTTTTTATTTAAAATATAGCGCATTGGAAATACAAGTTAGCTAATACTTGAATCCTATGGGAAACTTTTTTTCAGTTCGCTGTTTATGATTTTCATTCAGTAAAACCAGTTTAACAAAACATGTTTTGCTGGTGTGAATAGGGTATTAGTATATTATTAGTAACAGTAACTGCATTTTATCCTGATTCAATTATTATGCTGTCAAAATATTATGCAAACCAACTTACGCAATCAGACTAGTGGAACTTTTAGCAAGCAATTGTTGCATTTCTTCCAAATCAAGTTTTCCTCTAGCAGCTGCCTCCATGTCCTTTCTTATCCCACTTCCAAGATACATACTGAGAGCAGGTGTAAATCCTTCACCTGACCTGACAAGATTTTTCAATTATAATAAACAAATAGAATTAGCCTTGACAATGAATTATGGCTAACAATTTACTCTGAATGACTAATAAAGGAACTTAAATTATCATTAGTTACGACTATTATTTTAATCTTTCATTTTAAAATATAATTATCACCAATCACTGGCTCTTTTGTTAGGGTCCTTTTTTTCTACTCTACTCCAGGGGCATGAGGAAGGAACCCAGGTGTAGAGATTGCCTCTGTCCCAGCAAAGAAGACAATTCAATGATCATCACTGACTAATAATGCTTCATTTAGATCTTATGCACCTTATGCATTTGAGAGACAAAACAGATACATCTCTGTTTATATTAGATAAAAATGAGAGGTCTCTAAGATGCAATATATATGTATGTTTATGTTATTTAACTGCAATTCAAAGTACCTTCCTGAGTCTAACTGATCTATATTAGGCATAAATTGAGGGTGGAACTCATATTCACTTCCAATCTGTTTCCCATCTGGCTCATCAAGATCATCATCTTCATCATCTGAAATTTTATAATTTTACACATACTAAGTTAAAGCTTTATTCTTAAGCTTGATGGTAATCTTAAAATCAATTGAAATGAAAGTTGATCTTAAGTTCAAGCAGGTAAATATTCCATCCTTTATGGCAAGCCATAGAATTTGTGTACAATGCTGCAAGTGCTAACTGATATGTCACTTATTAACATGGCCTTGCATCATCTTGCATCTATGTTATCAGAACTCTCAATTTTCCTACTGTTTTCTTGACTTGAATGCTTGAAACAAATAATGTGAGAAGTGAATGAGTCAGACCAACTCAGTGATTCCATAGGGCATTTTTGAGTTGTGATCTTATATAATAGAGAGCAAAGGATATCTTTACTAAAAGGTAACAACTACAGAAGTAACTCATCAATGTGTTACCAGTGTCATCGTCCATGACATCTTTATCCTCTGGCACGGCAGGGTGCTTCAGCTCACATGGCAGACCCTGATTTCCCTGACTATAAAATGTGACCAAGTCTTCTAACTTGTTGAAACCTTGAGGAGACACCCCAGGAACTGCCTAAAATAAAAGCAAGTTATGTTCAGATAACAAATGATATTTTTTAATCAAATTTGACTGCTTGCATCTAGTCAGTCTAAATGCATCATGTGACCTGTAATGCTCTTGCTTAGCTTTTTTGCAAACAAAGCATCGTACACACAGTAAAAGTATTTAAAGGATAATAAACAAAATAACACACATTAGGCTTGCATATTTGCCCTTACACATCATCTGTACCCCAAAGTTCATAGTCTTCCTCAAATTTTAACTTTTGGAAACTCCTTGCCTCTTGAAACAGAGAATGTTCATAGCTGTTGTTAATTTATATACAATCATGTACAAACACATAAATCTGCAACAGGATATGCACAAGATAACAAAAGATCCTTGAATGCTAATTACTACTAGGATTCATAATAACTTGAAAAGAAAACTAAATACAAGCTAGAAGATCCTTAAACTAAGTCTTATTACAAACTGAAAATGCTGGCACATTTGATTATAAATTTAAGATGTGTCTCCACTTGTTAATTACACGAACACTTCTAAAAGTGGATCTCTTGTTCCTGAGTGGTCACAATGCCTCTTAAAAATGCTGGAGAGTATGGGGGGCATAAACAACGTCCTCCACATTTGCTACTCTAACTGAAGAGTTCCCACCATCTCTAATTAATTGAATTCTTGTCAAACACATTTTAACTTTCCAAAACCATTAGCTGGAGCCGAGTCAATTTTTAATGTCCATAATGTAAAACAAAATAATGTTATAATGATATCATAGAGAGAAAGTAGTGCATAACAAATGACTCCTTTCTCACTAAAAAACATGATCATTGCACACTCTGTCGTCTACTGACCTGCATGTAAAAGTTGCCATTCTTTTCATTTCTCAAAATTCTATAGTGGTGGATTCTCCCCTCATGCCTATCAAAAGATACAACCAGACAACTGATCTTAATAAAATGAGTTATGTAAAAAGTTACATGATATTTTCTGTATCGCAATTTCTAATGCATTTTTTTCTAAAAAGCAGTATAATTTACTAATTTCTGGCATAACATTCCCATAGAAAGTTTGAAAAATAAGCATTTATTTGATTTATTTATTGGCACATAAGTAAGACCTTACAAATCAGCTTTTAGATTTTAAATTCTCTTGATGTCAGTGATCTATCCAATATGCAACTTGGCAGACCACAAGAAAATTACACAGCTCCAAGTAACTAAAAGCCCTCATACAAATCTCTGCACTACAGGGTGTTTTTATGGTCAATATAGAATTATAAGTTTCATAGGGCAAAATTTCTACCAAAGAGGAGGTTGATCACACATGGCAACTCAGAAAAAGTTAGGAAGCTCGACTATACAGAATAACTGAGCTGAGTGGTACTGAAGGGAACCGTTGTCAATAGTCATCATCAGAGTCTTTATCTTTATTGAAATTTTGTTACGCGTACAGAATAGTATCGGCAACTGGAGAAGAAAACAAGATCATGTCCCAATTGATATTCAACCCCAATAAATATTAACCACCCATCCCACCCCAGGGGAGGACATCCACCACACAGTAATC